CCGGCTCAGATGATTGGTCGTGCTTTTTACAGTACTACGGCTTCCACAGATGACATTTTTTTATGGACTTTTTGTCAAAGCTCTTAAGATATTCATTGCTATCGGGATGTTAAGAGCATTCCATGGAATATAACAGAAAGTGTATCTCGAGCCAGTTTCTCAAACTTACCTACCCCATCTTTAATAACAAACAGGGACATATACTATCACCAAAGTTATATATATTTTCAGATATTTACCATTCATTATAAGCCATTATTTCTCCCAGTTCATACGGTAGCAGTGATGGCAGGCCTGTTAGTGGAAGTGCCGTAATGCCACTGAGGACACAATGAGTCTCTAGAGAGGCGCTAGATTTATGTTCCATGATGGCCATTTGTAATTAGCTGTAAATCAGGTTTGAAAAAAAGGTGTGAACACAGCCATCTCTGTCTGCTAATGGAAGCCCTCATTAATAATTGAGATGCAGACATAATGACCATATGAACAGGGTTTTAGAAATCATACGAACATATTGCTTTTTGAATCTTTATATTGCATTATTTCCTATACGTACTTTTAGAAATACATTCTTTATATACTGCAGATGCTTTCAGGTACAGTACGCATGTATAGTGTCTAATGTCATTTGCTATAACATTATCTTTATTATTAATCATTGTGAGCGCCTGTGTTTTCATGTTGCTGAACAATAAACTCAGCCTATAGGCATTCACACATAAATAAAGAGCAATATTGCATAAAGATACACCATTGTTCTCACCATTAGAGCGCAACGTTCTACATTTACATTTGGAAATGTATTTAGGGGTAGCAGCACAGTTCTGAATGAACCTTGACAAATGACTAATTTTACCCCTGTGGCTTATGAAATGCTTACTGCTCTGGTTATTTGTCTTATAACCTACATCGACTCAAGTCTTATCCGAATCAGCTGCCAGGTGAAAATAGTAACACTTATTGCCTATTAGTGATGCCTGATTTTAAGTTATGTGCATCACTGCTTAAAGGAATCATCTGCAGAGACAGCAGCCTCTGAAATAATGCATGCCGCCTGCAACCCACATCTGTATTTTCTGCAGCAGTCTCACAATTTTCCTGCCATATTTCTCACATCTCACACCTAGAATTGCTTTTTCTCTGAGGTTTGGACGATTCCACGCTCTATTAAACACTGAATGCAGCACCATGGGAGGCTTTTCTTTCAGGGGTTCACTGTGAGACACTATCCAAACCACCTTCAGATTAATATGCATGTTTCATGTTTGTGTGAGAGCGATGATTTAAGCATGGCTGAGTATGTGTGTCTTTATGTCAGGCCAAATGTTCACATTCCCCATGACTGAATTTGGGTTAAGTGAAGAACTATGTCACTCCATAGGTTGAGTGTGTGTGTGTTGGGGTGTGTGTGCGTGTGCGTGTGCGTGTGTGTGTGTGTGTGTGTGTGTGTGTGTGTGTGTGTGTGTGTGTGTGTGTGTGTGTGTTGGGGTGTGTGTGTGTGTTTCTCTGAATGTTCCACAGGGAGAGTGAACCCCAGGCTGCATTACTCACGGCCTGTTTTGACACGTGCCCGCGCACACACACACACACACACACACACACACACACACACACACACACACACACACACACACACACACACACACACACACACACACACACACACACACACACACACACACACACACACACACACACACACACACACACACACACACCAGAGTTTCCGTTATAATTTTTTTTGCCGGTCAACATGTCCGTTAAAGTTTCAATCTTCCGGACAAAATTAGTAAAGTGCCGGTCTTCAAATTGATATGATTCGATATGATTGATATGATTCGATATGATTCGATATTAAACAAACTAATTATAGTAGATTAACTACATTATTCAAAAGTGTACAGTAATTTATAATAACACGGGAATAATAAATGGAGCGCTCTCTCCTGTCAGTATCCGTCTGATGCAGCTCGCTGATCCAGTAATGAGTGACCCGACAGTAAAAATAAACATATCTATAACTAGTTTAGGTAGTTTGATTAAAATAGCTAAGTGTGATTTTCTAACCGCTCACCGCTGCACAGCCTGCAGGTGATCATGCAGAGCTGCGCGTCGACTCGTCAGCAGCAGCTGATCTCTCTCTCCCGTCAGATTAGACTTCACTCGCGTTTATGTTCATATCGATCAGATCTAGCTAGTTCTAGCAAATGATATGACTACCTGCTTATCAAGACACCTAAACAATAAGCGTAGCTATGCAACCGGGCGAGGCCGCAAAGTATAGCGCAGCATTATGCATTTGTTTACATGCCAACCGGAACCCCGAGGCATTACCAACAGATCAACGCACAATCAACCCATACAGGACATCTCTTTCTCCACATTAAATGTTAGACATTATAATTGACTCTTCTTGTCTGTCACATAAGTGACAGACAGGCGGTATTGCGCTAAGGGGAAATTATTTTGACCGGACATTTTGACCGGAGAGATTTAGATTTGCCGGTCTTCAGCATATTTTACCGGTCAAAGTCCGGTAATTACCGGCTAACGGAAACTCTGACACACACACACACACACACACACACACACACACACACACACACACACACACACACATACACATACACATACACATACACACACACATACATTTTAGGCATTGGAGGCACTTTTAAAACCCATATAATAAGACAAGCGCTGAGACAGGTGAATACAATGTTTACACAAACACACACGCACACGCACGCACGTGCACACACACACACACACACACACACACACACACACACACACACACACACACACACACACACACACACACACACACACACACACACACACACACACACCACACCATACTGATTGCCATTTTTAAGTAGGTTATTAAAGCTATTAAATAATATCCCGTGGTCTTTGAATAGCTCATATGCAATTTCACAGGGAGGGGCTCTGATCCCCCCATCATTTAAACATACTATAGCCTATGCACTCACAAGGTGTTTGCACATTGCACATCACATACTGTGTGTGTTACAGTCTGTGGTCAGTGAGGACAGAGTCTGGTGCAGAAACAAAGAGAAGCTGCTGCAAAATGAAAGCTTGCTCCATTGATTTGTGATCATAAAGACTGCCGCTGATCAAACTGAACCACATTTGAAAGGACTCCAAAAGCATATTCCTCTACATGTAGGTGTGACCTATTTTCCTCACAGAACTATTAGCGCTATCTTTCTTTAGACGCTATACACCTGCATTTCAAAAGACCAGAGAAGAGGATAGGATTTACAAAAGTCTCTTTCATACAGGAATAATTAATACGATGCAGCTCCAGAAAAACCTGTCTGTAATAAGAAGCTGTTCTGGGAAATCAAAGCTCTACATCCCAGAGTTAATCAGGTGGGGGAATGATTACTGAAAGCTGGTTTGAGGATAAAAGCGTACCTGCTCACATCCTCACTACCTGATGATGTCACAGCCCCCCCCCCCCCCCCCCCTGGCTGCAGGCTGTGTCTCCAGGGGGCAGAACCTGGGTCTCATTCTGTCGCCAGTCCTGGCTCACTGCCTGGTTTTAGAAGCTGGAGAGTGTCAGACTGCCTGACATCCAGCCTTTTCTTTGATTACATTCGCTGTCCTGTTTTTGCTGCACTGCATAGCAAAGCTCTCACTTACATGCAACTCAAGCCGTGTTTATTAGACGTTAGGGCGAGGCAACACATGCAACTTGAGATGTTGGCAATTCTGCTACAGTCTTCTTTCAGATTAGTGAAAAGAAAACATAAGCAATGAGATTTTTTAACTATAATTTGCTTCTCTAGATGTATCTCTATCAAAAGTAAACATTAGATAATTTTCAGAAAACTTCTAATCTTAATGTATGTATTAAACTGGGGAAGTTTGATGATGATATCTATTAGTTTCATTGTGTGTGACTAGATGCTCCTGTTGAGTCCTGCAATTTGGGATTTTTAAATACATAACTTTAGAGGCTGTTTTGAGGTGTTTCTCGTACTGTTACCCAGAAATCTCCACTTCAGTAGCACTTCCACACATTCCAGTTGTATTCCTATCTATATTCAGAGTGTTCTTACCAAGGGCTTTGTCAATATACCATTTACAGCCTGATTTATATAACATTTTATACCTATAGCAAAGCCGTTGAAAGTATTTCCTTATGGATGAATTGGAAAAGATATCTAAAACTCTCAATGCCTTTGACTTTACAAGGTCAACAATACAAAACAAGAATATGGAACCTAGCCAATGTTCAGATTAAAATGACAATATTTGCATCATAAAATACCATTTTGAACACTTGTAGGGGGGAAAATATCCTTCCTACCTGGGGAGTTTCCCCTTTATAATATATCTGGATTCAGAAAACCCCTTTAAAATCACATGTGCTGTGTTGTCTTATCTTGATGTCCCTCCTTCAGCCGGGCTGGGACAATAGTCCTTTCAAAACCAGCTTAAGACCCCGAGCTGAAATCCCCTGTTTTATACAAAGGTGAATCTGACACTGGAGTAATTGCAGTGAGCACACAAAGGGATCACCAGGGTGTAAACAACCTGTCTAGCATCCGTCCACTCCTCATGGCAAACATTTAAGAGGCTGAAAGTGTGTGTAAGAGAGGGAACTATAACATATTTTACTTAGTGAATGGGAGATAGTGAGCTATATCTTGGTGTGTATTCATGTGTGTGTGCAGGCCTGAGGGCTAGGTGAGGCTCTCTGTCCAGCAGCAGGTGTACAGGTGTCAAAAGTAATTGGCTGAAAAGACATCCTATATGTCTCTGTTCTTTCTTGAAACTCAACTCTATCATTCCCTTTACTCAGGCGACAGCGTGAAGCTTCTTTCTCATACCCCGAAGCCACAAATGAAGTGTATTGTCACTAAATAGGTGTGATCATTCAGTGTACATAACACTGATTCAGCCCCATGTCATCCTGCAGGAAGCAATGGGATGGAATTAAACAAGGAAGAGAAGAAGACATTTACCTCCACATAGGGCACCACTTTGCAGGTGAACTCCCCCAGCAGCCAGGACTTGGTGAGTTCATGAAACACCACCATGGGCAGGCAGAAGAAGATGAGCACAAAGTCCCACACAGCCAGGTTGGCCAGCAGGGAGTTGGAGATGCTCTTCATGTAGTAGTTCTGGCACACGATGCACAAGATGGCAATGTTCCCCGCTATGCCCACCAGGAAGATGACCCCGGAGACGCAGGTGATGGCGTACGCTCCGTAGGTCTCGCTGGTCACCGGGTAGAAGGGGTTCTTGATCTCATCCCCAAAGTCCTGCGAGCTGGGAGGGGTGATTGGCGTGGCGTCCCAGGGGTTCTCCTCCCTGAAAGTGATGAACTCGGGCCTCCTGGTGAAGAGGTCAAAGGGCAGGTCGGTGGAGGTGAGGGCCAGAGGTTTGGGGATGGGTTCCCAAGACTGAGCCAAAACCCCCACGCTTTTGTTCAGCCGGGCTCTCCCCCTCTTGGAGCCTTTCTTGTGTTCATCTTTTGTGCCCCTCCTGTGCCTGTCGCTATCATCGAGCCCCCCCCCCTCCGCCCATTGAAGAGGGCTTAGCGGCATTGTAGTGTCCACCTGCTGGCGTCCCCGTACTACCATTCAACTTTATCCTCCTATTGTGGTGGCGCGTCGGGTCCCAATGTGAGGCAGCGTGGGGATCCTCCACGGGGGTCACAGTCCTAATGAAGTCGCGTTTGTTGTGTCGCCTTGTCTCCCCAGCAATTACCCTCTTCCATGGGTGAGTGGAGTTCAGGGGCCCTCGGATAATCGCCCGCTGAGCCTCCGAGGACGCACCTGTGGCGTACCCCGGCGAGAGCGCACGGTCCCAGGCTTTTTTGTGGTGACTCTCCCGGGGTGACCCATGGAAAGTCCGTGCAGAGTGTGCGCCGGCTTTGCTGTCCTCTTTAACTTCTCCATTATTTCTCAGGGATAGTAAAACATGCGCGTGGGCTAGTAACACAAATAACGTCCAAGGCGGCAGAATCTGCATGGTCCGGGAATTGTTGAGCGTAGATTTAATCCTCACAAGTGCAAATTCATACCTCCGTGCTCCAGTCAGTCAACACCCATGTTGGAAACAGCCTGTATGGAGCTCTCAAGTAAACAGCTCCATTCATCACCAACTTGTATCCTTGTCTTTCTGGAACTATGCAGCAGTATGATCTCCAAAATCACTCCCGGAGTCACTCCAGTCTCCAAAGTGTTGGCATTAGGGAGCAGGACAGCGAATCAGAGCCCAGATCCAGAGAGAAGGAGAGGAGGTGGAGAGGGAAATGCTGCATATTATAAATACTACCGCAAAATCTGCACAGCATCCAGTCTCCAGCTGCGGGTAGAAGCATCTGAAAGCACCGATCCTCTCTCTCTCTGTGTGTTAGCGCGTCAGTTTGGTGGGTTGGGTCCTCTGGCAGCAGCAGAGCAGCGGCAATGCGGTGCAGTCTGGGTAAAGCCCACTAGGTTGTGATGCACGGGAGTGGAGAGAGAGAGAGAGAGAGAGAGAGAGAGGGAGGGGAAGAAGAGGGAGGGGGGGATCGGTCTGTTTTCTCGTCCCTCTCACCTCCTCTGCTTTCTCCTCGAGTAGGACCGTGGAAGAAAATGGACTCCCCCGGCAGCTAACCCCGATCTGTCACTCCTCATCCATCACGGAGCATCCAGCAGCCCCGCAGCACACTACAGCTACAGACCCCCCCCCAAGAGGAGCCAGCCAGCCACGCCCGATAGACGAGCTGATTTTTTTTTTTTTTACGCACAGGCATACGCTAAAAACACTTGGACAACATTTGAGCAGGGACCGTTTTATATTTGTAATGATCATAAAGGATTAAAGCTCAGTTTAAGTGTGCAAAAACTTCAAATTAAAAGAAACTCTCAAATCGATATGAATCAATAATAATCTTAACCAGTCCAGTTCAACTAAGAAAAAATACTTAAAAAAAACAAAAAACATTTGAGCTGATACAGTTTGGTTTAGTTTTTAAAACAAATAGGAATAAAGCTAATTTTCAGTGACTTCTTTCAAATTAAAATCAAATCTCGAATCAAAATGATCCAACATCTGTCCAAGTAAGCTACTCTGTATCTATATCTCATTATATGTGTTAAGAAAACCACATTTCAGTAGGCATTAGAGGTAATATACTTGTAAACTGCTGATTCATTTCCAATATTATCCATGATTTGAATGCTGCAAAATTACCTTAATAATGCGTGACAACAGCTTGCCAACAGCTCTGATATACTGCATATATTTGAGTATTGGTCCCAGGCTGTCATATCATCCATATTCAAACCTCATCAACTTCCTGTGCCCACTGCAAGCATCCCCATTTCTGAAAGTGATCCTCAGCCAGTTTTTTGGATTGATTTCTAGCTGCAGGGGATATGGACATCAATAACTGCGACGGCTCTCTATAAAAGTTGCTCTAGCATAAAAAGGCTGCTTCGGGTCATTTATTGGCCTCTCAAACGGACTATTTATTTTTACTACGACCCAAAGAAGCGAACCGAAATACACCTGTCTTCATACTTTCAATAGTTTTCTAAAATAGTTATTTTACTTTTATTTAATTTGTTTATATAATGACAAGTGTTGACTCCTCTAAACACATAAGTGGTTAAGACAGAAAGTTAAAAGATAGTAACTGTTCAAATAGTAAGCTTAAAGAGATACATAATTGGAATATTAAAGGTAGGGTAGGTACATTTGAGAAACCGGCTCGAGATCGCTAGAATTTGAAAATACACAACCGGAGAAAATCTGCCACTTCCTTATAGAGCCCCTCCTCTAACACACACGAACGCGCACATGACCAATGAGGGCACGAGATAAGTTTGTGCACAGGCTGACAGGCAGGTAGGCCATCCAGTTACTTTAGCCGGGCCGGCTAAAATGATTGGTCGTGCTTTTTACAGTACTACGGCTTCCACAGATGACATTTTTTTATGGATTTGTTGTCAAAGCACTTAAGATATTCATTGCTATCGGGATGTTAAGAGCATTCCATGGAATATAACAAAAAGTGTATCTCGAGCCGGTTTCTCAAACTGACCTACCTTTAAGCTTAAAAGTAATGCATTTATTACAATAAAAGGATAAACAACTTGTATGTTTTTATCAAATAAATGGATAATCAGTTATAATAGTTCGGTAAAATGTATAGATAAACAAGTTAAATACATAGATAAATAGTCAAAGTAGTTATAAAGCAGTAAATAAACAACAACGTATATATTAGCTTAAATAAATTGATAAAATGTTGAAATAGTTAGCTAAAAGTAATGGATAAACTGCCTACATTTTGGCTTAATGAACAAATAGTAAGCTAAAAACAATGGATTATCACGTGAAATTCTTTGCAAAAAGTATATTGAAGAAATACATATTTAGTATAAGAAATGTGGTTGAAATCCTAAGCTACACGTAATGGTTAAACATGTTAAATAGTTAGCTAAAATACTGGATATGTTGCTACATGAGTTATTACTCGTACAAACACAAATCACTACCTGTGAGTAAGTGATGAATGTCCAGTAGCTCAGTCAATAACTCAAACGTCTCCAAGGACTTAATGAAGTGAGCACATTATGTCTCAAGTGCTCTAAGTACTGTAAGCTTCACAATAACGCTGGAGTCTCACCACAGGCTGCAGGCTGAATCAGGAACAGAACATATGGAGACACACCATTTAAGAAAAGGCACATGTAACAAAAACATGACATACACACAACTGACATATATGCAATCATACTTACTTGTTTGTGTCTCAGTCGTGCAGGTACTGAGAGACGGAGTGAAAGGAGAGTGAACTGGCAGACATCTAGCTGGTGACCTTCAACATCAAATAGGACACACACACACACACACACACACACACACACACACACACACACACACACACACACACACACACACACACACACACACACACACACACACACACACACACACACACACACACACACACACACACACTACACACACTACACACACTACACAGAGCCAAGTTCCAGTAGGGGGGAGAGCACTGAAGATGGATAACTCGGTGCTCTTGCCAATATCTTCATCTGACCTGGATTCAATTTAATGTCGTATGTCCAAACATCAGCCTGTTATACCTTGAATATGTGAGGGAAACTTGTTCTTGCATGTCTTATAAGGTGAATAAGATCGAAAAGTCTTGATGAATCGAAGTAAATGGTGAGCGCTTTCAAAGGCCCTATTCGCCAAAGCATCTAAAAACTGCCCCCTATACTTTAACATTTGCATTTTGCTTAACCTTACTACTAAGCCATTTGCAAGCGTGAGGATGTTTATGCAGAAGTGTATTAATCAATTATTTAATATTTCTCTGTTTTTGAATTCTTTGTTTCCTGTTGAGGTATTCGAGAAGTGTTTTCACAAAAAGGTCAGGGTTAGAAATGTCAACTTAGGATCAATTCTGGGTGAAAGATTCCTTTAAAAGAAAGTACATAAAGTAGCATCACATTGGGTATAGTGGATTTAATGAAAGTTTAATGCTCCCTATGGCGAAAGTGTGTAAAAATAATATAGGGCAGAGTTTGTCTCTTTCACTTTGCATGTTCACTTCTCTTTGCTGAGTGCAGTCATCCAATGAGTCATGCATAGTTTCATACGAATGAATGGTAACAGACATTTTTTTTCTCCCTTTGATAACAAGTCATATCCCGGCAAAGCTAATCACTCGGTGAATGCTCAGCATCCGTTGGGCTCTGCAGGTTAAGTCCTTTAAATTACACTGTGTGTCTGACCTTGAAAACACACGGCAACAACTTGTGGTACAATTAGAATCAGCTGTAAGGCACGGGGCAACAACACACATGTAATTATCATGTCTATTGTGTGTGTGGTCTGTGGAGACTCTGCTAGTTGGTGTGTGTGGGTGGAGATAAAGCAGAGAGGCACTTTCGCAGATGCACTCATGCGAGGAAACACTCCACGGTTCAGACACAGAGGGACATCAAGGGCACACACCATGCGTGCACACACATGATGAGTGCACACAGCAGGACACACACACACACACACACCCACACACACACACACACGGAAAGTCTTGAGTGTAGTAGGGCGTGCAGGAGGCAAGACAAACACGCCAAGACCATGAACATTTTATGGATTTCACTGTATATGTGATGCATGGAAAATAAATTATACACACATGCACACACAACCGCTGTATGGGGAGGTATTCAGACACACACACACACACACACACACACACACACACACACACACACACACACACACACACACACACACACACACACACACACACACACACACACGATGACTGGTGCGTTCACACAGCGTAAACCAAACAGACAACAAACCCCAAAACACAGCCTGCAGTGCTCAGAGGACTCGATGCATTATAGAAACAGTCAGAATGATTCAAAGTGATACACAGGAGGAAACAGTTGGGGAAACAGTTGTTACTCTTCTGAATTATTAACACACCCATGTGGCTTTGTCTGTAAAATGTACTTTTTAATAAATCAATAGAAAGGCGGAAATTTGATTAACCGACCTGCCTGTTGCTGCCAAACTGAAACATTGACTTGAATTAAATGTATTATGTCAACAGATCTCACATAACTGTATTATTATTGTTAATTCAACTTAATATTATAACTTGCATCTAATTTAGTTATGTGGAATTTGTTGAAATAATACACTTAATTAAAGTCAACATTTCAGTTTTTTCAATGCATGTAATGTGAACCATCAGGATGATTAGAAAAAACTATATTTTTTAATAATTACTATTTTTGTAAGTTCCTTTTTTCTTAGTTTTTCTTAGTTTTCCTTAGTTTTTTTAATTTCTTATTGGTTAAATATTAAAACAAATCTTCAAATTTGGCAGTAAAAATGAATCCCCAACAACCTCAATAGTAAATACCGGCAACAAAGTATTAAAGAAACCAGATTAGGATTATTCAATTTGCTAAAAAAATGTGTTTTGCACACATTTAAATGCCAGGCATATCGATGGGACTTTTAGGATGTCCACTGCACTTCTATCTCTCCAGTCTTCATTCACAGTGAGGCTTTCATCACACTGCTCACCATCTAATACACTGGGCTGTTGTTCTGACAGCTTTCCATCAAAGTCATTGTAATCATTTATGCTTCATCCCTTTATGATGATTTTCATTATCTTCCATAAGTGTCAGCACATCTTCAGGATGCTCTCAGTGATGTGAAGTATCCAGACTGTAGCCATGGATCAGATGCATCAGCATCACACAAAGCCCAATGCTGCCATCTGGTGGTGTTTTGAAGGAGTTGCAA